TTTACTATCAAGTGCGTGGGCCACTCAGCATGGTAGTTATGTTTTAGTTTTGCTACACTGACTACAGGTTAATGAAAAAGCAAACAATACCTTTACGCCAAACTTCCACAATTATTAGAACAATAAAACTGTTTTTTTCCCAACCACTGATGGGCTGCCATCAGTGGTTATTCCACGAAAGTTTTGCTAAAGACGAACCAAGACGCTTAATCATTTTCATCACAGCTCCCAACAAATCAATGCCTGGAGTCGTGCCCTTAATTGGAACAATGGCTGAGAGCTCTTCGGTAATTTCAAAATCATCATTAACTCTCCGCACGATTAGCAGTAGACTTGATGTCAGTGCTTTCGTCAAGCGCCAAGGAATACGATGAAAACTTTCCCGCTTTTGCTCCTCAACACGGCGAGGACCGTCTGTCTTGACATGCCTATTTTTGCAAACGCCTCTTTTTTATCCGGACATAAAATATTGGCAACCCGAACAATACATTTATCAACGCATACTATCAATTCGCAATTTAGCGAAACATTCAATCCATGACCAATACGGGCATATTTAAAATTTCTTGCGTTATTTAATTGTGTTCAATGTAACCTGCTGTAGTGTCGATTAAAAATATAAAAGCATTACTATTTCAGAACGCCGTAGCCATAAAAATGTGTGACAATGTGTCCGATTATAATCTTACGGTGCCTTCCCTATTCAGCTCCGCGACATGCTACCCATTCATGGATTCAAATTGATCATACTGGTGTGTGATGTGCAGATGTGTGAGCATCTGACTTCCAGTTCCAGTAAATGTAAACTGTGGGTGAATTCATTTTGGAAAATGACTTGACATTGTTTAATGAAGTGTTTGCGAATTCCATCAATAAATACTTTAAGTACAGTTGTGGCTTTTGTGAGAAATGGGTGGACGACGAATTGAATATATACCAAATTCGAACTTCTTCATGTAATTTAATCAAAACTTTAAAATAGATCTTTCTTTCACGTAGACAAGGGAGCGAGCGGCTGCCTCGGTAATTTTGAAAACCCTTCAAAACTTGTTAGGGCCATCATACTCACATATTCCATATGCGGTGAATGAAACTAAAATTCCTACCCATGGTCGAAGAGTTTTAAATCTGCGCTCAGACAACAGATTTTTAACAGTAGTAACTTCAGTATTGAAGTTTGTAATTATTTGGACAGTCTCATGGCATTGTATAAATTTGAGAAGCAATTACAACAAAGGCATTTTTAAGATCCAGTAACACAACAAAAATGCAAGAACTTTCATTTTATATTTAGCTTTAGATTTATAATTTCTAAGATATTAGAACACAAACACAAATAGAACAAGTCCAAATTTAAACAAATCATGAATGCTTTGTTTGATCGTTCTCATTTATTGCGACGGCCTAAATTGCTTTTTTTATGGCAAAAGAACAAAGCATGTTAACATATTTTATATTTTAAGAAGTTACGATATGCTTTTACTCATTGGGTGGCATTGGAAACGCTGTATTTTTGACAGTACTCTTTGAATTTTTCGAATGGTTGTTATAACTAGTCCAAAAATATGGCCATTATTGCATTTACTTCAATGCTGGAAAAAAAGCGATATCATAATACCAACATTGACTGCGACCCGATAGTAGGAAAATTAGTGGAAATATTTCCTGGCAGTGTCTCTATTTTCAGACTTCAACCAGTATGCAAGTTGATGATTTGGCTACGTTTTAAAATTCGATCTAGCCTAACAATAATTGAATCTTTTCGGTTATTGGGGAATGTGCAATCAAGTGACAACTAATTGCATTGATTGGTTAGTGTGCAAATGAGTAATGACCAACTCTTCCGTTGTTTTTGCAGTCGTAGCATAATTCGAATGAACAAAGTAATAGAAGTAGTAAGTATAGTTGAGACGGGAACTCCGGCAATAGGAAGTTTTATAAGTTTGCTGGGCTAGTTTATATTGCTAGCTTCTGTATTGTCTATCTGACCCGAACAAATTTACCAACGATACCCCCCCCCCCCCCCCCCCAGGGGAAGAAATATATAAACCACGTGTGAAACGAGGTGATTGAGCATTCTCATCAAGTGTTATTATAGACAAATTTGTTTTGTTTATGTGCCAACGGCTTAACTACACTTTCACTGAAAGGCGGCTATGACTTCGCGAGATGTACTCGTTTTGTTGAGCGTGCTAGTCACCTCAACCAGAATATGAGTCTAGCAAGATTCGGATCCTTCCATATAACTGGAGTCTATAGTTGTATGCAGTTTGGAGCAGTTGGTTGTATTAATATTTCTGTATTTCAAAGATAAAATCGAAGTATTTGGTTGTAGTATGTTTGGGACGAGGAAATTCTTGTTGCCCGCGGGTCCTGATATAATTGATTCAGATCTTGTTCTTATGATAATTCAGATGTACTGGCACCGACTGACAGAATACAGGTATAAAAGGATGTTTTACTGAATTATTTAATAAATCAAGAGGACATATATTCTTGATGACATATCTCAGAAGATTCAGTCATGTCATATATCTCAACTCCATTGAAATTAAAGGTCACAGATGCATGTAACTCAGAATATTGATATCCCAGATTCTTGATATTACTAATCGCTGTAGTTATGGAACAGGTGCAATGAAAAATATTACACAAGGCACAAAATTGTTGATGAGGCAAAATCAGAAGTAGGCCTAAATGTCGCTAGTAAGCTGGAATCATGACAGGGTTCAGGAAGTAAGTAATCAATGTTGGAAATTACTGAGCAATACATTATGTCTGAGAATTCTGAATAGCAAATTATTGGAGGTGAATAAAACTGAAAGTCTAATTCAAATGCTGATTCATGCTTGACAATTTTATGCAAAGTTTTAAAAAAAAAACTTGTGTGCCAGTTATATTCTTTAAACTCTTCAACGCAATGTCAACTGTTGAATAAAGTAAAATTCGACATATAGTAGCTTGAATTTTCAGGGAGCAGTCTTATTTTGAAAAGAGTGTAATTCAAGTTATTTTATCCAGGATTACCTTGCAGGCAGACATGTCTGCATGTGGTTATGAAATAAAAAGGAAAATATGACAAATTTACAGACATACTGACACACAGTTACTTTTTTTTAAAATATATTCATCCTTTTGTTATTTTTAATTTGGTATCAATACTGAGATGCTGGTATTGAATCTGTAGGAAGCTAGCTGTACCAGTAATCTGGTGTTGATAGTTTTATTCTGTAATTATCAATTGATCATATTGTAAAAAAAAATGAGAATCGAAAATAATATTATCGGTTAATCAAGGTTTATATTTTATTCTCATCATCTTCGGTTTATCAATACAACTGACAAATTGGGCAAACAATATTTTAATTTACAACATATATATATATATTATGTAGCAGTGTGCCAAGTTTTAAAAAGATTGAAAATTGACGAATTCAAAATGAATTTTACAGAAGATATGCACCATCGGGCAAATACTGGCTCATTTTTAACGAAGTAGAACTGTTGAACCTCTCATTCCTAACATTTTATTGATAGACAAGGGATTTTCAGTCGTGATTGCTATCAAATCAATGAAAAGACCACGAATCACGATAGTTTATTTGATTTGGTGAAATCTCTTTGTAACTTCACGTTTTATTGTACAGCCCTGAGGCGAAGATGATGTATAAAGTACTGTAAGACGACGGTACAAAAAAGTTTGAGAAGTACTGATCTTTTTTTAAACAGTTTACTGATTTAGCTGCACACATTCCTAGTTACGGAGAGGCCTCGTATCATAAATAAATAAAAAAATATTCTGTACTTTCCAGTCGTTTTACCTTTTGTGGCTTGTCGTATTTGGGGCCTAACAATGGGTAAAACGTGTTTTGTAAATGAATTTGTCACTGCTTCATTTAATGGATTTGCTATTGTTTCTGCTTGATATTGGCAGATCACACATATATTAATTGATTGTTGTGTTTTGTGAATATTCATGTAAAATGGTCGTGTGAATTGTTGGTCAATCATAATTTAGGATATTCACTTGATTTTATACAGCGCATAAACATGTTAATAATAATAGATTTCTGTAAGCAAATACATAAAGTTAAATATATTTCATTTTTGATTGTAATGTAACTAATTTTGTGAAATTGTTATAAAACAGATGTGTCGTACGCTCTCTACGACTTCTGGTTTACTCTACACGACTAGTCGCAAATTTATTTTGTTATTCTAGGTTTGATACGTCAATTTCCGCTTGACGTTCCCGTAAATTGTTTAATTTGATTTTCTAATTACTCTACTTTATTTAAAATGAGAAATAACGACTAATGTGTTATGAAATGTAGGTTGCTGAACGATTTCAATGTCCTCACGATGGCTTGTATTATGACTATTACGGTAATGATATACATGGTTAGAAAATCAATGGTAAAGAATAGAAAAAATTTTCAATAGTGTGAGTAGTACTGAAGCAATGTTTCTGAAGATTTGCAATATCATTTACCCTACGGCTATGCACTATACACTGTTCTGAGATAATGATAACGGTTCCTGTCCTATCTTTATAAAATTTTAATAATATGCCTCAAACTTGTGTCATTATTTTAGTCGAACAAGGACAGTGGCATCAGATTTTTGAACTAAATTTTTTAATTACATAAGATGTAATATTGATAACTTTCCGTTCACATTTGATTCAAGCATATTGAATATTAAGTCTAATGCCTGGAAGTAATTATGGCAAAAATCTTTGTTTGTACTTCTAATGCCAATGATATAAATGGACATTACATAAAAATGACTTGGATATTTTACTATCGTAACGAATAACTATATATGATATATTTGCCGTCTTGAAAGAAACTATCAATTTATTGAAATTTTGTAATTATTATACTCCAACGTGGAACAAAGTAAGATATTCTGTTTTATTCATTTAAAAACATTACAGAGAATCTTATACACGAGAAAAAATAATAATAATAAAATAGGATATGCGCACATGTCACTAATTATTTTAGGCCAAGTAAATGAACAACTTTGGTTATTCATATAATTGTTTTAGAAGAAATTGCACATGATATCTCTTTGGCTATTGTTATTGTTACGCATATTCAAAAAGCGCCACAAACGTATAACAGTACAAACGTGAAGTGGCCATAAATGTTTTACTTTTTTCAAAGCGATTCACGGGGTTAGTGTTTATACAGCAACAACACGTTTATCCACTTTGCTCCTTGTTATTACATATTTTTAACGATTGAAATACTATTGTAACGCAAGTGTTTTGTTATTTTGCAAATTGTGAGACTGATAGTTATTTTCAACAAGTGTAATTTTGTGTAATTAATTCGAGCTGGTTCATGGAAACAATGATTTAGCATAATTTGTAATTAGATTTTAAATTGATAAAAAAAATTCTGCGAACCGCCGCCGGCTTATAAATAAATACTTGTTCAAGAAATGTTTCTCTCAGTTTTACTTACAACCGATCATATTTACTTGACTAAGTGATTGAATAGCAGCAAAATGTCAGCTTTGATTCGCTTGGCGATTCTGTTTGGTGTTTTAGCATTATGCCAAGGTATGCAATGTTTAACCATTGACAGTATAAAGAAAGTATACTACTCTCTACGCCCTATTGCGTGCTTCTCTCATACTTGCTGGAGACATTTGTGTATATTGAATCATTTCTACAAAACAAAGCTTAGCGAAGCTTATTATTGATACATAATTCTCAGAATATATTGAAATTTTGATTATCCTAGCTAATGGCAAGATTAAATAAGTGGTTCGACCTACTATGAAAAAATATGTGAATGATGTCTAGTTAATATAAAATTGTTGGGAGGTTAACTTTTCCTCTGGATATTAAAAAGGAGCCAAGTAAAGCTAATATTTAAGTTGAGATATTAATATTTTTTTTTAACTTTCAGCGAGAGGTGTACGTTGGAACGAATGCAAACCAAATAACAAAGAATGTAATCCGACCGCATGCCAGAATACCAAATGTCGTAATCACCCTCAAGCGACATGCATAAACTTCTGCAGAGGTTGCGTTGCACGATTTTTTATAACATACTACTATTGGACGCGGGAAGTAACAAATGATTGCGAACTTCCTACACCTGATTCCAGATGTGCAAATTACGAGGGATTGTCGCATTTAAGAGGTGCATCTTGTCGTGGACGTCGATATGGAAGGCCCTGTAAATCGAATGAAGATTGCAAAAGTGGACAAATTTGCTGCCCTGCGGGTGCCTGCGGATTGCTATGCAGGGATTTACCTGGTGAGATTTCATTTTATCATGTTTATTTGAATTCAACGGGAACCCGTTTTACGTCATGTTTTCTAATTTTATTTTACAGTGGTGGATCCCGATTGCCCACAGCTTAAGGGAAAACGAAAGCGACGAGCCCTCGGCACGTACGAATGCTTTTCAAATGGCGACTGCGAAGACGGAATGTGCTGCAATGGACCAATATTACCCTGGACCTTCTGTATTACCGAGGACTAAATTTCTGTGTATTATTTGATTTCCAAGTTTTTCTTAATTGGAAAAAAATTTGCTGTGGTGTGTACAAAGTTATGATATTGCAATGAAGTTGTCATTGTGATAAGCATATGATTTTTGAGTATTGGGCAAATAATATAAATAAACAAAACAAATAAACAACTGAAGCTTAGTTTAGCAATAACATTTAAAATATCTCCAGAAAGTTATTAAATATGTCTAAATCTCCTGTCGTTCTTTAAGATTTGCGCTAGTTTCCTTCGCTCCCTAATTTTGTCAAATAGATGTTTATTTAAAAAAATTTCAGAAAAATTCAGCTTTGAGTTCGGGCCTCAGATATACTCGCTCAAGTTGTAAATTCTACCTTAAGAAACAGTCAGGTCTTTTGATATATCTAGATAGACAAACAGATACAACGTCCACTTACTCAAACTAAGACAAAGAGACAATCCCATGGAAAAATCATTAAATGTCTCATAATATTTCCATCTACTATGAAAAGAATTACGTTCCTATCTGCCGTAGGCTATAAAAAGTATGACACTTTTTCTTGTAAAACAATTCAACGCAATGTTAAGCAAGGTATGGAGTAGAAAAGATAGATGGACACAGAACAGTGGCGTATCTAGGATATGGCAGCCGTGGCTCGTTCCATGGGCGCCAGTCGCATAGGTGCGCGACAAGGGGGCGAAAAGTTTTAATCGTAAATTGTTCTAATACAATAATCTAATCATGGTAATAGAAACTCGTATTTTTACTTAAATGATAGCGCACAAATATATTCAATTCAGCAACAGTCGTTAAAAATTGCCAGTCGAAGATCGAAGGTGCGCATTTTGAAACTTTGCCATGGGGGCTATTTTACGCATATATATATATACGTCACTGTTCTGCAATACAACGACAAAAAACCCACTATAGCACTCGTGCTTGTGTAATATCATACATTGTGCGGATTTCACTATATCAAATAAGTTTTAATTGTAACTAAATTAGGTGGTTTTATCCATATTATTTTCAATATTCTTTAGCAGTATTATTTAAAAACATATTCTAACTTACCATAATTCCATATTTGCGCAGTTTAGAAACATTCACAGAAATAGCCAAGATTCGTAACGGGGTTCCGATTAGAGTTGAATTCAAACTTGATATCAAAACCACGTTCTTTTTGCCCAGTTTTTATCCAATTCTGGCTTACGTTAAAGTATTTTCATCCCTATAAAGTTCAGTAATTAAGTAATAGTCATACGTAAGTGATTGGTTGCACAAGATCACTAGACACATACATATATATGTACACAATGTATCATGCTGGGCTGGTATTGGGTTACGCAAGTTTAACTAGCTTTTGTTGCTCTATGCCTTTGCGCGAGTGGATCCTAATGCTTGTAATGCAATGATATTGTGGCACGATCAAAGATGACTATCCGATTTGATTCAACAGTTTTGCCGCACCCTTCCACACATGAATTTCTGCAGCGTTTTCTTGAATCAAATAGGATATTTGAGTGTACTGCGATAAAATGACATTCATGTGCTTTTCGTTGCATTATCTACATAGAAAGCGTGAGCTGCTGGCGTCATACGTTTGTGTTATCTTCGGTTTGTGCAAAAACATAAACACCAACGCAAACACCGATTAAAAAAATGTCTGTGTTGTGAGAAAAACAGTTCGACAAATGCCCTTTTCACGTCATGACGTCACTGATCCGGAAAATTTGATTTTAGTTCTTAATGTATCAATAGGTTCTTCGAATCCGACCAATATCGTATTTATTCCATGCCTATGTTATTTGCATAGCACGACTACCATAAACAGACATTCATTATATTTCTCGCTGTGTCATTTGTATATAAATATTTTATAAGTACTCCCATGTAAAACATATTTGTGTACTTCACCCTTGCACGTATTAGCCCGCCCATCCTACCACCATTCTTTTTTCTACTAGACCAGGTGTTTGTGCAAATGGCAATAAATTATGTAATTTGTTCTTCGATTTGTTCAATTTTTATCCAAAAAGGTGTCTGCCACAGATTTGTGTTTGAGCACATCATGGTCTTATCCATACACCCTGTGCCCAACATTATTATTTGCCACCATAGTTGTATCTCTATATATATACATGATACAGAAAATACATTCGCGATACCTGCCAAGCAACGATCGGAGTTCGTTGGAGCTATCAACACAGAAGGGCTGTCTTACAATTCAGCATGTTTGTATTTTTCTGTTGCAGGATGTCATAAATCTTTATTTAAAATTGGATATAAATAAATAAAACAGTTCAATTCATATTTTTTTTACCTTGAAACTTCAATTTTTTTTTCAAAAATAAAAATAGGTGAGCATCAGTGATCACTAAAACAAATAAATATTCACGCATTGATTTTATATAACTTTTAAAACATGCCATCTGCTGCAAATTATTAAAAATGGGCAGATTCAGCCCAACAGTCATTTTGGATGTAATAACTCAAACTTCTTCTTCGTTGGTTTTACATTCAGTAACATTACTTGAATTCGTTTCTTGTTTCTTTCCATCACAGCATTTACAATTTGCAAAACATGGCAACATTCTGTCTTTCCAGTCGTCAAAGCAGAAAAGCAGACACCACAAATTGAAAGCTACATTGACATTATAGACCACGGATAATCCAAATTTAGATAACACAACGAATGCGAGAATGTCACTTAAAATTGTTATGGGAGTCATTATCATCGATCTTGTTAATAAGTAAATAGACTTCTGTTGTAATCTTTGACCCTTGAGAGATTTTTTCAAAGTTTCCCTGTGACGAAATAACGGAATTATAAATAATGCAAGAGTACAAATTTGAGTTTCAATTTGATAAAGAAGAAAACAAAATGTTATCCATCTTGGTAAGCACGTCAGTCTTATTACATTATTGCGAATGCCTTCATATCCAACCGCAATACTCAGAAACAAATTAGTAAACAACATGAAAAGTCCTTGAAAACGACTGAAATTATGCAACGGTTTTGATGAAAGATGCCTCAAGGATGGTTCGCTGTGAAACATTGTCTGACGAAGCCACAATATGAGATACTCCGACGTAAAGGCCCACTGTGATAGAAGCACGTCAGATATATATATGACGCTATTGATATTGCGATGAAACATAAACACCGTGACCATTTTAGATAAGGCAACTAGGCCAGTGAAAACAAGTGTCAAACTCATTACAGATCGAAGGTTTGAAGCCAGCAAAAGGTCCGTGCATTTTTCAAGTCGAAGCTTATGCAATCTCTTCAAAATAAGAACGTAGATCTGGCAGAACGTTAAGTAAATCAATATAATTGTAACGACTATGTCCACGTAGAATTTCTCACTAAGTACATCTTCAAATGATTTAGAGAAACTGTTGGAATTGTTCTTCGAGCAGTTCATACTTGATTCGATGTTTTTGTGATAAAACCTAAATTTCAGCAGCGAGTCAAAATTTTGACTGACAACTAATGATACAATCTGTCAAAACGAATCAAATAATTAATAAATTTTGGTGCCAAGTACACAAAAGTCTAAATTATGATAGCTCACAACCAGTGGCGCGTCTAGAGAGGGCCATATGGCCAGCCGCCCCTGCACGTTATAGGGGTGAATCTGTTGATTTGAATAAAACTAATGCTGTACAAACATTTCACTCTTACTTGACCCTCAATTTATTCATTTTCATGTATAACGACATCTATAATTTGTTCATCTCCCAAATTATTTATGAATTTCGTGACAAGGAGCATCACTATCAGAAACTCGCAGAGAAGTTTGATACGCCGCTGCTCGCAACATAGATACTTCTCTGAAACGTTGCTCGGACAGAATGCCGGGGAACATTTCATAAAAGTTTGAGAGATAAAAAGTATTTTGCAATGCTTGCCTCCTTGCCCTATACCCTGTATGGAATTTCAATTATTGGAAATAACTCATTTTGAATTATAATGTTATTTTTAAAATATTTTCATTCAAATACAAAATTGCTTAATTCATTTAGGGAACACAAATTTTAAATAAATTCCTATTTTTCTTCACCAATAGAATTCATGCACTGGACATTACTCCGCTTCGGTAATAAGTTACATTGTGTGGATTGCTAGACAGGAAATTCTCTTAAAAATGTAATTGAATTTTTTGATTTCATCATTTTATTATTCTATGTTATCATTACCATATACCGATTACTAAATATTTATTACAGGCTAAAAGTATCCAGAGATACCATATTCGAATCGCATCAACACCAGACTACAATAGAAGACCACAACAACAGAAACAGTCAAATATATATATACATATATATATCTATATATATATATATATATACATATCTTATATAATTTTCATACATCTTGGAACCTAGCTTGCATTCACTAACTACAATTCTGCTAAAACTGCAATAAACTTTTATTGAATAAAAATAGACGCATTGGCATATTTCATAGTGACGTCGCGGAAGTAAAGACACAAATAGCCTCCCTTTCAACAAGGAAGTCCTAAACTGAATATATTCGAGAAAGATGAATCACAATCAGTTTCGTATATTTGAATACAATGAAAAACATACCGAAACCCGTAGAATCCACAGAAATGCTGAAACATATGGTACCAAAGTTTTCAAATTTCTATCTTTATTATGTACACATTAAAAAAATTGTTGTTGTTTAGGTACACGTTTCATCAATATATTGAATATTTTGAAATGTGTAAGGACGAATTAAAATATTAACCATGGAATTTCTATGTTCCTAGCCAAATGATCAGGGGAAATTTTTGTGCGAGTACGCTGCGGTGTAATGACTCATATGAATATGAAATGAATCTTCAAATGTTCACAAAATGTTTCCGCATAGCTACTTTGAGTAACCAAACATAAGCATCCTCCTGAGATTAACGAAACACATGAAACAAATAGAGAAAGTTAGAACGATATTTCCTATGTTTCGTGCTCTGACATTTTGTTTAGAATTTTGTGCTACTTAATATCCGAATACCGCGAATATTGTTTTATGTTTCTGGGAGGCATACAGAGTTAGACCATTTTTCGCGACATTGAATCTATAATATAACTCCTCCTGTTTCAGTAACTCATTTACAGTTTATAATATTTGTCCCCGTATGCGAAGCTTAATAAAAAGAAAACAATAAAATAAATCGTAGTCAATTCTCTTGCTTGCACTGGTGCAAATGTCCAATCTTGATATTTTTAATGACTATTCAGTGGCTAAAATCCTGTGCTCGTATATATATTGAATCTTATATCTGAAGTAATTTACAAAACGTAATTTGATAAAAAGAATTACTCCCACCACGGCTAAAAATAAAAAAATAGTAATCATCCAGTTAGGGTTAGGCGAGGCTAGGAATGCAGATTGCGCTGGAACAACTTTGCATACGTGGCGGGGGAATTGTACAAAAATCCGAATTACAAGCCGCCTTGCATTCGTTGCGTTCAAATATTGCACCGCAAAAACAACCATGTGTTCTAATAGATAATCTAATCGCATGGAACATTTGTTATCTTATATAAACAATACAGCCATAATTGCATTTTGTCATATTGAAACTGGGATAAGATGAATGCAAAATAATTAATTAAAATTTCCGAAATTATTGCTGACTTGCCACTAAGCGGATGCGTGTACGTGAGTTATTTTAGCATCCGAGGTCGAGTTACGTATCTGCCACAGTGGCGTGTCTAGGTTATGGCAACCGTACCATGGGCGCAGTCGCATAGGGGCGCAAAAAGAGAGAAAAGTTTTAATCGTAAATTATTTAATACAATAATTTAAACTTGGTAATAGAAACTCGTATTTTTTCTTATATAATAACGTATAAATATTTGAATTTAACAACAGTCGTTAAAAATTGTCAGTCAACGATCAAAGTTGCGCGTTTTTTTGAAATTTGCCCTTGACGCCATTTTACGTAGATACGCCACTGACACAGCATAGACTGACTTTTCTGTGTACTTTCAAATTAAGGACAACCAGATATTCTGCTTGTCTCACACTTAGCCTACCTATCTCATACTTGTCTTGATTGCCCCACACTTGTCATGCTTGCATCACACTCATCCTGTTTGTCCCACACACTTGCTCTGCTTGTCCCACATAAGTCTTGGTTTTACAAAAACTTGTATTGCCTGTCCCACACTTGTGATGCTATTTCAAACCTGTCCTGCTTGTATCATACTTTTCCTGCTTATCTCACACTTGTCCTGATTGAATCAAATTATATTGACTGTCTCACACTTGCTCTACTGTCCTACATTTCACTTTCATTTACCACACTTTTATTGCTTGTCTCACTCTTATTATGCTTATTTTAAACCAGTCCCGCTTGTATCCCATTTGTTCTGCTCGTCCTACTCTGGCTTGTTCCACAATCTTCCTATCAATCAATCCTCCCTGTCCACATTTTTCCTTCTTGTTTCACAAGTTGATGGTTTGATGATTTCAGAGAAAGCATCTCAAACAATGAAACAAATATCGCTGTCCAACGACACAACAAAATCCAGAATCAATGAAATCTCTGACAAGAGCAGATATATATCGAAGATTGACTTCTCTCCTGTTTTTGTTCTTCAATTGTACGAAAGTAGAGGAGACCGGGGCTAGTTGTAACATTTGACTTCGTTTTCGGAATTATTTCCGCAGTCATGTAACACATTAAGTCTTTCGCGACCCACGTACCTATGTCATTGTCCCACTGACAGTAACCTGTTGCGCCCTGCAACGCGCCTGTAATAAATTGAACATCAAATGAACGAATATAAATAATTTGCTTGTTTCATTAGTTTAATTTCCTCATGTTATTTATGGTAAAGGACATACAGTTGATCAACTAGAGTTTGCGCATGCATTAGCAAAGCTTTTGTTCAGTTGCAAGTATATGCCTGGATGATTAATAAGTTTTCATGTCTGGTGGAGTAATATGAACATCATTGCTCGCCCCCACTGTAATGCTCGAGGCTTATTTATGAATTTTTTAGGCGTTCTAGACGCATTCAAATAGTTCAGTAGTGTCTTTAATTAATTTTGTTAAATGTTCGTTTTACCCATCCATGTGTCCGTTTTACCCTTAACCCGAATAAATTTTTTGGGAAAAAATGCTCATATCCAACAAAATATTAGGCGGATTGCCGAAATCGACAGTGGTCTGTAGGGCGCGTTCAAATTGGTTATTTTAATACGGGAGTCACGCTTCTATATGGTAAAAATTACGAGAAATCAAGATTTTGCTATAGTGATGTCCGTAATTCACGGGCCTACTATATCTTATAAATAATATGAGCTTCGGGAAGCATTGCAATAGAACGGAGTCAGTATTGCGGCGCGGCGGTGTGGCTCAACGGGCTAAGCGTTAGGAATACGCTCGCCACCGCACCTCTAATTACTCTGCGTGGGTTCGCAGGTTCGAATCCCATGCAGGGGTGGTTATGTGCGAGAGGATTGCTGGACTCCTCGCCGTCGTTGGGTGGTTCACGTAACCGCTGGTCGGTTACGGCTTCCTCCACCACCAAGTCCATGCTTCCGAAAACAAACAATACAGTAAAAAACTAATCCCATACCCGACTTGGAATGGTAACCGGACGAGAGGCCGTGGTTCGCCATATGGATAAGCCGTCTTATCGGCTTTCCTCTCCCCCGGGATAAATATGTAAATCCTATCCTATCCTAAGACAGATCAGATTTTGCAAATCCGCAAAAATACGAATCAAACAAGAAATGATCGGCTACGGTAGCACACGTTTATGTCCGCGGTATTTTGGGTGGAACTAATGCTTTTATTTTGTCGTAAGTCGACGCAATCGCGAGTTACGTTAAACACAGTTAAAATGATATGGCAAAGAAGACATTTTAAATTCTCGTAGTTGTAATAAATTGAAATGCTGGGCGTTTTACAGAGCGCGTAATCGCGGCGACTGCCTTAGAAGCGGTTGTAAATGAATTTCAGATTCCAACCCCCCTCGAAAATCCTGGCTGTGCCCCTGAAATTAACTAACAAATCCCATATCCAACACGGACTAGAAACCGGGCGAGAGGCCGTGATTCGCGGTATGATTAAGCTTTTTTTCATTTTCTTCCCCGATTAAAAATTCCATCCTATGCTGAATACCTATAACAGCCTTGCCACTCGGCCCAATACAATTAGTTTTTAAATTAACTAGATGAGAAGCGAAACCACACTTTGGTAGAGTCCTGGCAGAGCCAATAAGAGGTCACAACTTTTTTGACTAGGCACTACCTGTTCAAAGTTCAAACATTTTTTCAGGACAACAGCACTAGAAAATTAAGTGTTTTTGCCAAAGTATTATATTGCACTTGGAATAAGATCGGAATATAGGAATCATAGAAAAATGACTATCCAGACAACTTTATTTGGTTAGTAGTGTTAATTCCTGGCATCCCAAAGTAGGGTTTGCAGTAATTATATAATCAGCATGGTACATGCATTTTGAATTAAATAATTGAAAGAATCTCCCTCACTTACCCGAATTTCTAGATATATGGCTTAGTGTCATGTACAATTAAACCAAGGGGCCAGACAAGTATGCCAGGTGACAAAAATTGCCAAACACTTGAGAATAATTAAAAAAAAAAGTTGAAAAGTGACAAATTATTCGGTGAATCTTGTCCTGGATACAAACATCAGTGCATGATATATGAGAAAATTTCATCCAATTCAATTTTATTCGGCTTGTCATTTCATCACCATCTTCATTTCCTAGGCTTCATTCAGCTTTGGCTTGCCCTCTCAACTGATTTTACTGCTTCTTTTAATTTTCCAACAAAGTCTTGCAACTGTTCACGCGTGCAAGAAAATTGCACATTATCTTCTTGGTTAGAGTTTATTTCACCACACAACTGTTGTTCAGTTTTAAAGGAAAGGGTGTATTTCAAATCCATAACTTTGTTCAACTGACTATTCTTCATGTTGTAATCAAGTCTCCAATCGATATCAACTACATGAGGTAAGCCTTTGTTAATTCGGGCCAAGTGTGATCGTACCTTTTGCTTGTTTAGCTTATATGATTCTTGCAAAATCTCTTTTTGTTTCGGGAGCAATTTACAGTCATCTAATACCATACTGAATTGCTCAGAGCTTGTATCTGTTTTCGAGGCTTCAACAAACAACGTCATTATAGCGAGGTATGTTTGCTTCAAGATGGCAGCATCTATCTCCACAGTGTCTTTATCTATTAGGATCTCATCTTCATGTTGACTGAAAATGCAATCCAATGCATTTTTAACAATAACTCGGAAACACTTTTCTGGAAGTCCGACTGTTCCACAGACTTGCAAAGCTGTTAGCGTGGGCTGGGAAAGTAATTCCATTAGGTAATCTGAAATAAAAGTACGGTACTAATAAATAGTTGGTTTGTGTTTGGCAAGAAAGGTTCAGATCAGGTAGTATGGTCAAATATAGGGCATATGAAATGTATAGCACATACTAAGTCAAACACATTATGTGTACATCTTTTTAAATAATTTGACATACAATTTCATTTTACAGTAAATCAGAAGTGATAAGGCTAGTAATGTGACCTCTTAGCAGCAGATAACAACTTTTTATTAAAATGATAAAATCTATATACTCCTATGGACAATGATGATAAATACCGTAATAATAATTGCACTTGCACATAAAACATTTCAAATAAAATCACTAGCTTAAAATATTAACTATGAATAGCATATAGAAAGAAAAGTGATATCATGTAAACAATGCCACGTTTCAATCTTGACTTATAGAAAGAAAAATATATGATGGATATGAAAATTTCTGCACTGATTTAAAAATAAGTACTATATTCAATAGTGTGAGGTATTATGAACATGCTATATTTCAAAATATGCATTGTGTGATTTTCAAATATAACGAGACAGAAATAAAAGCGAGCCCTATAGAAATATATGGACTACGAATCTTTGAGCAATTGCTGTATCAACTACGGGTACAAACTTGCACTCGCAAGGGAGTGAGTTGCGGGTTCAAATCTCATAAAAAAAGAGTGAGTTGCGCGTTTAAATCTCATAAGATGATGATCATATATAAACAAAAAAATTTAGTTAACGCTGGGCCTTTCATGAAATCATCCACTGGATCCCACTTCTTCCACTATAATATTTATGCAATGAAACACATGTGAACTACCCGATAATCAGTAACAAATTACTCAGCCAATGTAAGTCTTCACCCACCAAAAATAAATATGTTCACCGAAGATAAATACCATAGCCTATTCTCTAAAATGCTACCTTTCTATTCTATCTACTTTTAAAATAAACTACTGACATAGGTTGATATACATGACGAAAGTAATGTTCTTCTACATCGATTTCAAATTAAGAGTATCACTTTCATGTTGAGGAAGACGAGAATACGGGTTTCTTTTAAAAATACAGTAGTACACTGAAACAAATAGCAGAATATTTGTAACAAGAATAGCCAGCCCTATAAGAAAAAAATTACCACAGTACCCATCTGAAATACCACATAATCTAGCATTGTCACTTCCAGGAACAACCTCTGAGGCAACTTTTTGAAATTGTTCAAAAGAACAAGATGTGCCGCATTTATAAAATGGTAATCGATGAGGCGATTGTGTAGAATCATTTCTGTACCATAATTCAACCGAATAACTTAAATCGTTTTCCAAATATAAATCAAGCATGACACATGATGCATATGGTGGAATAATCCAATTGTGTGCTCCGATGGAAACAAGAAGAGTAGTGATGCAGCTGTCATGAGCAGAATAACCGACCAATGAATATTGTGTTTCATTCCTAATTCGTTTCTCCATATTTTCCAGCATGTTTCCAAGAATGATTCCATTTGTCATCTTAGAAAGAGTTTTTGCATATTTAAGTTCATAATCAGTACAAGCTAGCCCTTGGTGGAGGCCTGCAAGATATGCAAGACTTTTCGTTGTGTTATCGTCCACCCATTTTGGTAGTGTGTAGTTATTGGATCGCAGGCAAATTAGGTTATCATATAAATCAGTTATAGAATTGAAATCATATGGCTCTTTCATACCAGTTAAAAATGTCATATTTTTAAAAAAGTGTGCATAGCTAGAAAGTAGAGATTTGTAAAATTTTGATTCATTTTGACCTTTTTTCAATAAATCAGCGAAAGCTTTGCAGCCCTTCTCAGGATATTTTTTTCTGTTGTAGAGCCAATCTCTTTTCAAAGAATCAGTGTGAATAGGAAATGGACGAAATGCTATAGTACTTTTCCCTATGGTAGAATTTGGAAGTGCATAAAGTCCAGAGACGACGCATTGAGCTGTCATAATGGTCCTGTCGGTATCAGTGCTTTTTATATAAATTTCATTCTCCTTGTATTTCTTACTGATCAGGTTTCCATACTTTGATTTCAAATAAAGTCCCAATTCGTATGCTTGTGTCATTCCTTTGCTTGTCAACTGCATTTTTCCATCTTTCCATACAAATTTATATGGATCATTCGGATATGTATGAAAGGATGATCTATCACCATGTCTCCAAATTATATTCCCTTGTATAAGTTTTCTTCCATGTGCCTCGTAAAATATCAAAAATAGTATATAGTACAGTAATGACATACCGGCAATACCTACTGTACTATTGAATGCACAGACAACAATAATAGAGGAGTTAAGAACTATGAGTTAATTCAATAATCGGATAACGGACGGACAACTCGACTACACGGACAACTCACCAGAGACAACTCGACTACAGAGAGGCTTGAACTTTATTGGTATTAAATGTTTTGAATGAGTACCTTCAAATATATTAAAACCTTTATACATCACAGTAACACTTATATATTCATGAATGTGAGCTTAGTAGTCTAAACTCGCCTACCGAACAGCTTACTACTCGCCTACCGAGCATTATCATCAAAAAACAGTGAGACTTCAAATTTGGAAATTTAATATTTCTGAAATCAATGTTCAACCAAAATATTTCAGATATTTTTCCAGATAATTTCATAGGCATAATTAATTTTTTTTTTCGAATCAGAATCTGAAAATATTTTTGATTCTTAAAAATATTCCATATTGGGCCATGGGCCAAAAGATACCCTAATATCACACAAAACCAACGACTAACATACTGACAAAACAAAACGCATCTCTGGGCCTCAAATCACTTAATGGATCAAACATTGTCAAATTGTGCCTAAGGGAGCATGTCCCACTGAACCCCGGTCCACTGTTCCCCATAGGAAACAAACATTTTCAGACTGTCCCACGTCGAGATTAAGAGGGCACATCTACTCGCCAACGTTATAAATATGTTACATAAGACTAAAGATGAAAAATATCAGGCAGCGGATTTACCGTAAATATATACTGTACACTACTACTAAATGTCCAACTCCGCTCGCCGTATAATAAACAAACAAAGGCGATGTTGCACCTCCAAGTGGCGGGCGTCACGGTTGGTTTTGTTCAGACAAGATGCTTAACGACGACGACGCTCCTGCATCACAGCTCGAAAACTAGCCCTGTTCATTGATGACTGATCGAAACATTTGCTGAAGGACGAAGAAATTTGATAAAAATGAACAAATAATTGTGAAAATGAAGACACAGTCTGTCTTGCAAATGACCAGGATGATGTGACAACTTCCTTGTCGAAAGAAAGCAAGGCATCAAAAATGCGATGCATTGCAAAAAATGTCAGTCAGATGTAGGTAAAGTGGTGACGAAAATGAATACTTTGCACTTTATATAAAAAAAAAAACGCTTGGTAGCACAGCATTTTGGTCTCACTCCATCCCAAGTATTGTAGCTTTCACAGAAGTTTTTTCTCTACTTGACCTATAATCAGGGCTGCCACAACGTCTTTATTTTTAGAATTTGTCCTTATTTTGAAGGTCTTTGTTTTAGGAAATATTTTTGTCCTTATTTCTAAGAAACATCTTTATTTTGACGTGTGTCCTTATTTTTAACCTTATAAATGAATATACCAGTAAATTAAACTTTGAATTTAGTTTAGATCTGGAACTTCATAAGAGATAAAATGAGTAAACGTAAAAAATTTGCCGTGATGATTATGAGAAAGAATTCAACGGCGTCGAACGAAACGAAGGACCAGTGATTTGCGCACTGCAGCTTTTGTGAATGTGACAATAATCTGGAATGCATAAGTAGAGCAGCAATTTCTGTTAATAATACAACCCAGAAACACAAAGCTCTGCTCAAGAAATCAATCGAACCAATCTATAATTAACTTTTTCAAGAGTCAATGATTATACAAAGGCTATCTCAACACATGCAAGCAGCTGAAATTTATTTCCATCATCACATCATTGAACATCCGACACTTGATATAAAAGAAAAATATTTTCAAATCATTCATGAGCGAATACCTATTAAACAATGTAACTGAATGTCAAGATGTAACAACACTACTTGAAAAAGTATTCAAAAAATTTGAGCAAATGTATACGCAAAGTACTGCAGCCAAAATAATAACAAGAAGATGGACAATAGGACTCATGGAATACGAAAACAATTGAAGAAACACAGCAGCTAGAACGAAGATTAAGATGTATGTGATTACAGTCAAGTTTCCGTACTCCTGAAGTATGCGTACCAAGAAATGAGGAAACCGGAATGTAGTATGTGTACCACGTTAGGGTCAGGCCGAAATGCTATTCCTTTTTCCTTATTTTAGTTCCATTACGAGTTCAGGGAATAACCAAGTGAGTTTTGTAGTATGGCCTAACCTGGTACACATACTATGTTCCATTGGCCGTCATCTTGGTACACGTATTTCTGGAGTACCCAAGTTTTTTTCTCAATAATCCATAGAAATACAAATTATTATTTTAATTACTAATGTGAATAAACACTGAATATCGAGTTATATTAATAGTGGTATTGATGTTTTTTAAAGCTTTGGGAGTGGTTCTTAGCTGGAGTAAAAAGGCAATTTAGGTATATCACGTGGACATTGCTACATTTTTCTTTGCTGCTTTTCAATCAACTGGAGCACCGATGGATTTCCAGCCCCGCGACCTGCAAAATATGCATCTTTTAAACTGAAAATATTTTGGCGATTCATTCAATATTTAGGGTGAGGCCCTACGGGCATAGCTGGAGATTTTGAAGGGGGGTCTGAAATGTTTAATTGACAAGTTAGACCAAAACACCTAGCAGGTCTGATCGCAAATGTTAGTTTATAATAGTCCCGATGGTCTAACTCTAAAAAGTGTTTCAAGCCACGAAAAATTTAAATGTATGATATAGTAAAACAATTTAGAAGACTTTTATCTTACACCTAAAGATGTTTGGTCTAATATGGTATATCACATGTTGAAGGTACCAGTATTTGGAGCCCTTCATACGCTGGAGAAGCAATGAAATGTTGTTGTTTTTCAAATATGACTACAGAATGTGTTGCATGTAGCTGTATAGCATTTATTTTGTTAAAAAATCCTTAACTAATCACCTGTTGTAGACTTCCAGTGTGTAAAATAATTTATGAAATTTTAGCTGATCTACTGCAGTCTTTTGTCTCCAGATGTTTCAGAGAGTAGACTGGATTTCCGTTTTTGAGGGAAGCCACGTCAGTAGTGCTGTTGCATATGTCAAAAAAGGTATTTTGCAGTTTGCAAAACTTGGCATGGCTTCAAATTCAGACATCTCTGAAATCCTAGCAACAGATGCAGGAAGAACCTACAAAGAAAAATTTCCCCGGTTCATCTGTTATTAATGACCTGAATACTGTTGGTAATTTTAGAAATAATAATCATGATCCAAGTATTTAAATGCTCAATAGGAGATAGATCTAATAGGAAAATACAAATGAATTAATACCCAAAACAATTCTTTGTGCTATACCTGTGCTTAATATTTAACAGACATTTTTATCAAGCTATTGAGTTAAACATGTTGGTCTGTTAGTTTACATGGCTGTTTAAAATGTTTTTTTAGACATATCTTCATAAATTCCCTCTAGATATGTTTCCATGCCGAAACCCCATCTGGTGACAGAAAATCATTCTTCAAAAGTGAGTTTCGAGACGTCTGCAAAAATTATTTTGAAATAAATTGCCCACAACGATTGAACGTTGTCTACCATCTAAGCATGTATGTGTTTATATCTAAGTATAACAGCCACTTTGACAAAGTATTATTTGAAACAAAAATGTGAATACCCCACAAAACAAATTGGAATTAATAAAATGTAACGGTTCCAGGAGAAATATTAATGCATTCAATAAATGTGGTGGATTTTGCAGTAGCAAAAAAGTTATTGCTATTGATCACAAATCAATAATTTAAAAACACTCGACAAAATAATTCAAAACTTTTTGGCACATCTAAAATTATAAATATATATATATGTTGAAGCCATGTTTAGATAATAGCAATAATAGGTATCCAATTTATGTGAAAAAAGTTATTAGTACAAGCCTGAAATCAAGCAAAATGGATTATCATGGCAAACGTAAAACACCTTTTATGTTGTAATATGCAGCTGGTGACTTTGTATACAATGACAGAATGCGTCTGTGAAAAAATTATCAAGATCAGTAGAACTCCACCATAAAACACTAATTAATTGAAGTTAAAATATGTGTGTTTAATCTATGTTTTTCATACAGACGTCACAATTTCAATCACCCATCAGTCAATTTATATTCTTGCTTACTGCTTTGATCACACAGCATAAATCCTCACACTGCAACTTTTTTATGATCCGAAAATACACATATCTCTTATCAAAATTTACATTCCTTGACAAATCATTACTGTATTGGGTACCTATAAGAACATTTACAACTTATTCTTTTTTATGCTGAACAATCGTAGCACAAAGCGGCTCTCTACTAGACTACATCTACTCATGGGAGCTTTAAAGTGAATTTAAAATCTTACTGTCAATTTGCTTTCGAGTGCTGAACCGGTCCTAGGGCCTTCCCACTCAATTGATTGTACCTCTATTTTGTTTTGTAATCTGCATTCTATCAGTTCTATAGTCAAGTATATCGTGCAATATTCCATGTGCACAACTAACTTGAATATTTATAAGTCACTCACTTAATCTTGACGCGAGACAGCGCCGTCAGAACACAGAAAAACGCAAGAAGTCGCACGATGCTTTTCGAAGCAATAATAATCTGTCAGCACCAAGTCAAGCGTGTCGGCGAATTCAACATCCGGAGAAATTTCCGGAGTTACACGGGCTTGGTTTTACATGTTGGAAAGGCTAAAGTAAAAAAAAAGAAAAAAACTGGAATAGTGAAATTTTAGTTTCAACCCCCCAAAACCAACTTAACATAGCTTGCGTCTCTCTACACGGTCGCTATTCATTTGTAGGGACGTTGTAACTCGCCAAAGTGCGGATTGAAACCGCGGACCGTATTCTGGATAGAGTATGAGTGTGAGAGCGGATTTTCCACTGTGCCCCATGTCCCAACGTGCCCCACCTTCCCCTACATAATAAAAGCCCATTTTGTGGTTTAAAATAGGATTTATATTAATATCGGTATCGGTTATCGGCCACTAGTTGGCTGATATATCGATATCGGCGGCAAAAAGTGATATCGGTCGAGCTCTACAACGAATTATTTGTGTCGAGATGCATAATCATAATTCGGTTGAGAGTTCAACTCTCA